TACTATTAGATGACAGGGTGTGGACCTATATTTATTGATTTTGAAGGGGGTTCTCTGTGCCTCCTGGATTTTGATGCTTGTTCCCGTGGGCAAATTAGGGGAATTCTTTTCTATGATTTGCTCCGATATACCTCTCTCCCTCCTTTTCTTTTGGGATGGATCCCAGTTATTCTAATACTGTTTCATCTTATGGTATCACTTATCTCCTGAATTCTCCCCTCGTGGTCCAGTAGTTGTCTCTTTTTCTCAGCTTTATTTTCCATCATTTGGTCTTCTATATCACTAACTCTCTTCTGCCTCATTTATCATAGCAGTAAGAGCCTCCAGTTTTGATTGTACCTCATTAATAGCTTTTTTTATTTCAACTTGGTTAGATTTTAGTTCTTTAATTTCTCCAGAAAGGGATTCTCTAGTATCTTCCATGCTTTTTTTGAGCCTAGCTAGCACCTTGATAATCGTCATTCTGATCTCTAGTTCTAACATATTATTACTGATGTCCATATTGATTAGGTCCCTAGCTGTTGGTACTAACTCTTGTTCTTTTTTTGGGGTGAGTTTTTCTGCCTTGTCATTGTATCTAGATAAGAATAGATGAATGAGCACAATACTAAGAGGGTAGCAATGACCCCAGAAAGATATACATTAACTATACAGAAGAGACCCAAAACCAGGGGGAAAAGAAGGGGGGAAAAAAAGAAAAGGGGGAAAAAAGAAAAAAAAAATATATATGTGTGTGTGTGTTGGTGAATAGAACAGAGCCACACATTTGATTTTGGGTGTATTTTGGTCTGTTAGAAGAAACTACCTCCCAGAATTTTACAGAAAGAAAAACTTGTATATATATACAAATAAGGGTAAACATGATGAAGGGTTGGAATAGGACTGTGAAGATGAAAATGAAAAAAGATTCTAAGAAGGGAGTTGATGAGTTGGTTAAAAAAAGAAAAAAAGACTGTGATCAGGCTGGAGACTGGAACAAAGCCATGCGCTAGATTTAGGGTATATTTTGATCTGTTAGAAGAAACTGTATCCCAAAATTTTAAAGAAAAAGCTATACGTATACAAAAAGCTACACGTATACAAAAAATAAGTGAAGGGGTAGAATATGACTATAACAATGAAAATTTAAAAATTTTTAAAAAGGTATTAAGATAAAATAGTTAACGTTAATATAGGAAAGAGGAAAAATTTAAAAAAATAAAGTGAGAAAAGTAAAATTTAAAAAATTTAACTTTGAAATACTAGGGAAAAAGCCCTGAATTCTTTGTGTTGCTTTCCCCTAGCTCTGGAGTTCCGCAGTTGTCATTGATACGTGAACTTGTTCTTGGCTGGATGTTCTTGCTGATCTTCTGGGGGAGGGGCCTGTTGCAGTGATTCTCTGATGTCTGCCCAAGGCACTGCCCTTGCCAGGCCAGGCTAAGTAATCTCAGGTTTGCTCTCGGTAGCTTTTATTCCCAGAACGCTTTCTGTATAGCTTTGGAGGACAGGAATGAAAATGGCAGCCTCCCAATCTCCGGCCCCGTAGGAGCGGGAGAGCTCAGGGCCCCACTCCTCAGTGCGCCCTCGGAGAAAAGCAGTCAGTCACTCCTGTCTCCCTGGTCTCTGGCCACACTCCATGATCACCTGGCCTGTGACTGAGTGTTTCTGTCTCTGGCACATGGTCCCATTTGGAGTCTCCAAACCCAGCAGATTCCTGCAGTGTGCTCCCATAACACTCCTCCTAGAGGAGGAAGGATGAGGGTCCCTTTGGATCTGCCACTTGTGGGGTTCCTGCCTGAAGAGCAGTGGCTGACTGTACTTTGGATCACGGTTTAAGGTAACCCTGAGCTGAGAGCCTACTTCTCGGCTCTGTCTCTGCAGCTGGCTTCCCCGTTCTGATACTGGAGAGCTCTGCACCCTCAGACACCCCTGGTCTTTTTTGGCCCCTTGGGTCCTGAGACCACACTGTCCCTGCAAGGACTCCACCCTCCACTTAGCCTCTGGAGCGACGTCCCTCAGTGGAGAAGACTTCTAAAAAAGTTCCAGTTTTGTGCTCCACTGCTGTACTGCTTGCTGGGAGCCAGCCCTTGCTCCCACGGTCTCTCTTCCTGTGTTTAGCCTCAGATTCACTTCTCCGCACGTCCTGCCTTCCAGAAAGTGGTCAGTTTTCTGTTCCTAGAATTGCTGCTCTTCTCTTTGATCTTCTGTTGAGTTTGTAGGTGTTCAGAATGGTTTGATAACTATCTAGCTGAACTCCTGGGACCTGATGATATTTAGATCTCCTACTCCTCTGCCATCTTTGTTCCTCCCTTCCTCTGTATTATTTTCCATAGTGGTTGCACCAATTTACATTCCCACCAACAGCGCACCAGGGTTTTCTTCTCCACGTCCTCACCAACATTTATTATCTTTTTTTTTTTTTTTTTGATACTAGTATTCTCACTGGTGTGAGGTGTTATCTCATTCTGGTTTTGATTTGCATTTCCCTAATGATTAGTAATATTGAACATCTTTCAATATGTCTGTTGGCCATGTGTGTCGTCTGGAAAAATGTCTGTTCAGATCATTTGCCTATTTTTAGTTGGATTATTTGATGTTTTGGTGTTCTTTATACACTTTTATTAACCCCTTATCAGGTACTTGGTTTGCAAATATCTTCTCCCATTCAGTAGGTTGCCTTTTTATTTTGTTGATGCTTTTCCTTTGATAGTTCATTTTTCTTTTGTTTCCCTTGCTTGAGGAGACGTCCATAAATATGTTGCTAAGGCTGACATCCAAGAGATTACTGTCTATGCTTTCTTCTAGGAGTTTCATGGTTTCAGGTCTCACATTTAGGTCTTTAAAGTTCATTTTTGTGTGTGGCATAAGAAAGTGGTCCAGTTTTCCCAGTGCCATTTATTAAAGAGATTGTCTTTTCCCTGGTATATGCTTGCCTCCTTTGTCATGTAGACTAAATGACCACATAAGTATGGGTTTATTTCTGGGCTATATTCTCGTCCATTAATCTTTGTTGTGTCTGTTTTTGTACCAGTACTATACTGTTTTGATTACTATAGCTTTGTAGTGTATTTTCAGATCTGGGATTGATATCTCTAGCTTGGTTCTTCCTCACAATTGCTTTGGCTGTTCATGATCTTTTGTGGTTCCATACAGATCTTGGGATTTTTTTGTTCTGGTTCTGAAAAATGCTGTTGGCATTTTGATAAGAGATTACATTGAGTCTCTAGATCGCTTTGAGGAATATGGATGTTTTAACAATTCTAGGTCTTGAATCCATGACTTTCCATTTATTTGTATCATCTTCAATTCTTTTTATCAATGTCTTACAGTTTTCAGAGTGTAGGTCTTTTCATCTTCTTGGTTAGATTTATTCCTAGGTATTTTGTTAAGTGCTTTTATTGTGAAAACAAGTCAGAATGTTGCAAGCAATTTTAATTTTTATCTTCTATCCTGTGGGAGGAGCCAGGAATTGGTCAGTTTCCTTCTGATCACATTGTGTTGCACCAAGAAGGGGGTGAGGCAAGAGTGAAAGAATTCCATGAAATTTCCTGGCCTTTTATGTTTTTTTGTTGTATTAATGTTTGGTTGCCGCAGCTTCTTAACTGGTTTCTAGTGTTCTCTCAATTCTTTATATTCAGAATCATTGTACGTTATGCTATTGTTGCTTGCTAGATTGGCATTAGGAAAATGTGCTTTAAAGTACTTTTAGAAGTACTTAAAAGAATTTTGACTCCTTTTATAGTTTAGCTAGGTGTCCATTCCATAAGTGACTAGGTGGCCCTCCAGAGATTCTGATTTGGTTTGTTAAATCCACAAAGTCCTTAGGCCTCATGGATAAGATTCTGCTGACAGTGAAGAAGTGACTTGTGTGCTGATGAAATGTCCACTGAATCTGAAAGCATGTGAAACTTTGGATACTCTGCAGTCTTATCATTCATGTATTTAACTTTATTCAAGCTTAACATTAAAGCATTTAGAACAGCTTAAGTAATGATTCCATCCACTACCCCTATGTGAATTTGATTTGACAAGGGAAATGTCAGTCAGCTATCTTTTTAGGCAAAATGTTCCTGAATGAGCATTCCAGCTGTGGTGTGCATAGTGGTGTGTGGGTGTGTATGCGTGTGTATATATGAATGATTTTCCTGGGGTATGAAGACCTGCTGCAGTTGACTTTAGTTTTTTAAAAGACTCAAGGATAATATGAACATAGTAACTTCTACCTAATTTAAAATTAAAGGAACTATCTGGAATGCAGATAGATGGGTGCATAAAGTATGTACTTTATTACTTACAAAAAATAGGAAGAACTTTATTTCCAGCCATTGGAAAATTGATAAGGAATTAGTTTTTCATACCATGGACATGATGTCCATTAGAAATGATATTCACAAAGTAGCATGAGGTTATTTATATAAATAGAAAATATTTTACATAAAGGTGATCTCTGTTTAATAAAAATTGCACAGAAAAAAGACTGAAGGTAAAAAGATCAAGAAAATATTAATGGTTCTGTATGGACTCTTAACATTGCTGTTTTCTTGCAACTTTGACATTTTCACAATTTCTACAGTGGGTATGCATTTCATCATGAGATGTTAGCAGTCTAATTTGTAAATGTTTGTTATATTTTTATTTTTTTTTTAAGTGAGAAGTTATATTCTCATTAAAAAAGCCAGTAAGGGGGAAAAAAAAAACAGTAAGAAAAACAGATTTGGAGACAGGAATAGAAATATTGTTTAGAACAGGTGGGCTGCTGCTTTTAAGAACAGTATGTGGGTATGAGACAGGAATGGAGGAGAGTGGACTTGAGAGGGAGGAAAAGGGTAAAATTTGGTCAATGAAAAATAAGAAATTAGAGTAAGGTGTACTGTGCCCAGAAATGGTTTTCTCCTGGGCAGAACGTGAGTGAGCAAAGTATAGGCTCCACTAGTAGGAGTAGACCTCATGTGACTTTAATGGTGGTGAGGTATTAAGAGAATATTGTCATTAACTTAAGCCACTGTTTTTTTTTTCCACAGAATTTCTTTGGGTTGAGTTCAGTTGAAGTTTGTCACTGACCTGTGTTCCTGAACTATGAAGCACGAATATTGGGTTATGGAATAGTTTGTCTTGATAAATAAACAACTAACAAATACTTTGGACAGTAGGTTTCTGTTTAATTATTCTGATAACTCAGGGTTGGAGATTTTAACTGTGTTTATGAACCTTAGGATGATTAACTTGATTTTAACATTTCTTAAAACTACCATTGTCTTCGAATATTTTTCATTGCTCTGGTGTTTAATTCACTGAAATACTGGTAGGTGCACTTTCTTCGTCCTGCAGTCTACAGGAGCCTGTAAGACCACTCACTAAACTGTGTCCTCTTAGAAGGGACAGAGAACATCTTTTCAGTAAAATATGTCCTTGGGCTTCATTGTCACTGTTTAGTAGCCCTGATGGATCAACCACCAGTTTCAGTAGATAATTAAAATACCAGTTGTTTTTGAAGAGTTAACAGTAAGTGTATATAAGTTAGAATATATATCTGGTCTAGGAAAATACCATAATACATTTTATGGATATGGAATATATGCCTAGTCCAGAAAAAGTATTAGAGTAGTCACAGTTAATGATAAGAGTATGGGAACTTTGTGGGGAGGTCTCAGGAGGATCTTTACCCCCATATTAATTATTAGTGCTTTTTTTGTGATCAAAGTGATACTACAGAGAGCTTTAAAAATTAAGTCTATTTTAACCTAAGCTGATTTTATCACTGGTACTTTATTAGGATAACAAAAACTGTTTCTTAGCCTTTTTAACTAATGCAAAATTCTTGGGTCCTAATAATGTGAGCTGTATTAAACCCAGGAATTGGTGAAAACCTGCATTTGAAAAACACCTGGTGACAGTACACATTTATGTGTGGTCAGTAATTCAAGGATTCCTTTTATTTTCAACAATTTATATAACAGTTCTTACAAGTAGTATGCAAAATGACCATAAAAGATACATTGATTAATACATATTTACATTCTTAAAAATAGTTAACCCTTGAGGTTGACAAAGCTGTCACTTTCCTAAATGAGCGTAACACAACAAACTAATGGAAAAATCAGTTTTTTCCATATTTAGCCCGAATTGTTCATAAACAGTCCTGCTTTCCAGAAACAATTACACAGTGACTTCTTATGCCTGATGACATGTGAGACTTGATTAAAAATTAGTAGGCATTTGAAATTGAATTTTCTTAGCATCTCACAATTGTACATAATAGATTGTAGATCCAGATTTGGATGTAATCAGTAAAATGTTTTAATCAGAGTGAGATTTTTACTGAATATTAAAGATGATATCTGGTGACCCAAGATCTTGATAAAAACCCATTCTTAAATGGAAAAATAATATCACACATTGGGAATATTTTGTGGTTAAGGAATTAAAAATAAACTCTTTGGATTGGTTTACTGTTAAGGTTAACACTCCCCTGTAGTACCCCAGGGCAGTATGACTATCCTCCTGCTAAAACCCCTTCCACAAGAGGGTGTTAGTTCCTAGTAGCACGTTTTCTTTATGGAACTAGAGAAACTCATCTGAGCCCTTTGGGTCTGTTTTCTCTGGTAGACACATAAGCTTGCTTGCTAAAAGATAAACTGGTGAAACATTTTTTCTAGTGTACCTGGACAGTCATGAGAAGGTCTTATAAATTTCAGTAACCTGCAGGCTTTAAAGGAGGAATATACATAGCAGGTTTCACTTAAAGAAGAGCATCACATTTTAAGTAATAAACTTAACAAGTTAAATAATAAAATCCTAAGCGTTTAAAGATTCCAAACGTTTGCAGCTGAGAATATAAGGAAAAGACTGTCTTAGCCTAGAAACGGATGCAGTTGGGAATGAAGTTTTAACCAGTCTCTCCATTCTAAGGCCTGACCACATTTTTTGTTAGAGCAGAGTTAACAGATCTTAATTATAGTAAACATTTTAGCAAATACCATTAGACAGCAAAAAGTAGTATATATATGTGATGAGATGACAACATTAATCACGGCCTCCAAATTGGAAAGGAACAAGTTTTTTTTAATCATTGCATTTTAAGGTGTTTTCTTAGGGAGAAGAATCTGAATTAATTTTAGAAGAGGCTGGGAAATTACCTATAATTATAGTAAAGTGTTGGCTTTGTGTTCATATTAGATGTTATTAGAGCTAGTTCGGTTTCCTTTTCAGGAATAAATTGCACAAGCAGGACCAGCACCACCTTAGAGGGGACTCAAGGGAACCCTTTCCTCAGGGCTTTATTTTTCACCAGGGTAAACTTGCTAATGAAGACTTGAGCAAAGTGCGGATCAACCAGATAATGGTATGTTTTCACAGTGGAGGGGAGAGGTTCCACAGCCACCACCGGGCACGGGGTCTGCATGGGAGAGCAGCTGGGAGCCAGGTGACAAGATGTCTTTGTGATGTAGTCCACAAGTCTGTTGTACTGTTGTTCCGACAGTCTCTCCCGGACTCCGTCCACCTGGGATCCAAAAATAAAGAGTCTTCAGCTGCCAAAACCTCATAATGACATTTCGTGACAAATTATTCCTTCTGTTGTTGCCTTAATACATCTATACTTTATGCCTTTAGGTACTCTAATAAAGCCATTTTGTCCCAAACAGTGCTTTTTATTTTTCCTCTGAGCTGTGGTGATGACATTGCACTTGCAGGAGTACGACAGGAGGCTCTGCAGGAGACTGTTAGGACGGCCTCCTTTGAATAAGCGTTTGGTGTGTAAAATTCGATGTCTGAAGCTGACAATTTGTAACATTTTACTCTGTTAAACATCTCTCACTGCCCTTTACGGAGGAGCTCAGGAACAAAGGAGAAAAGTGTCTTTCCTCCGCTTAAATCAACATTAAACTCGCACCTGAAATAAAAGTTTTGTTTGCTTGTCTCCTTGAACCTCTTCAGTTTGACAGAAAAAAAATCGTGGAAAAGAGAACCTCTTTTCAAACCAGTGGCTTTGGACAGAGCATTTAAAAAAATAAATACCTTTTGAACTGTAACATTTTCTGTTTTTATAAACACTAGGATTTAAAGCCAGAGAAAATAAAAAAACTGGGCAGAGGAAGGGGAAATTTTTATGGAAAAAAAGGGAGGATGCAAAGTACATTTATGGTTCATAAAAGTCTGGCTCATCTTCAGTGGAACTTGAATAGGAGAACTGAGATATACTACCCAAGTTCTTAAGTGCGATTTTCTGAGAAAGCACCCATCAAAGGCAGTTGGACCTATAAATTCTTCCCACCCTGAAATTCTGTAGCTGTCTAGTGCGTAGATCATGTGGACTGAGAAGTTTCCAGTGTAAGCCGCTGATCTGTGGGAATCAGGTAGCCACTGACCTTTCAGTGGTCTGTGCCTACCAAATGTTGGCAAGATCACTCTGGAAGAATTAAAAACATTTTTAACAAGGGCTTTCGAGTTCTCAAGTAGTAGTATAAAGAATTTCTGTGTTTCTGTGTAGGGCATGGAAACAGTGCAGCCAAGGGTGTCTTAAAAGCTGCAAAAGCCAGTGGGATGGTAAGGAGTGGCGGGGCTGCCAGAGAAGTAAGTAGGGCATCTGGTACTGTTTGCATCTCGTATTTTTAAGCCTGGGACAGAAAAGAAAAGCCCCCAAAGTTTCGCTGACAGATGAAAGCTGTGTACCACCAGGCAAAAGCCAGAACTCCGATGATATCATTTGATGGGGTCAGAATTCAGCTGGAAAGCTTTGAATACACAGAAAGTCTTAATTGCTCCTCCTGAACAGCAGCACAGGAAAACCCGTGCTGTGAAAGGAACCCGGCCAAGGAATAAATTGACCTTCTGACTCATTTTGAGCCTCTCTCATAAGGGATTTCAATAATGTGCCAGGCATATTAAGCAATTATTACCCTAAAAATGGCTGCATTTAACCAAGAAAAGCAAATGCTGATTTAAAAAATCTGAATCCTGCCACATTTCAGTATACTGAATGATGTCATCTACAAATTAATTCCTTCCAAAATTCAAAGGAGCTGTGTTTCCTAGCATCTGAAGAAAACCAAAAAAGCCATTTTCTATAAAGATCTTAAAAATACCAGTTCCTAGTTTTCCCTGGAAGACGCAGGTCGGCTTAAACCCAGCTTTACATCTGTGCATCAGATTGGCATGTGATGGGTACGGACTGACACAAGCATGACAGCTGAGGAAAATTCACTGTGTCAAGCAGCCCTGCTGAGTGACACTCCCCCCACCCCACGTTTTGCAAACACACTGAATTAGGGCACTCCTAACGAAGGATGTACTGTCTCAGAAAAGAAATGAGCATTTTTTTTCCTTACAGTTTGGGTCTCCTTTGGGGTGAGTAGCGGAAGGGTTAGGGTTTGAATGCAGGACTGAGGAGGCAGTTATTTCCTGTTTCTTAGGAGGAGTTGAGGGGAGAGGTGAATTGGGATAGATTTAGAGAAAGCAGAATTTGGGGGCTAAAGGCATACCGGATATCCACCTTTTCTGTCCCTTGCCAGATGCTGCCCTGCAGTATTTCTGCTTTCAGTCATCTTTTCCGCCTCTTCTGTAGCCATCACTTAGCCCTAGCGCCCCCGCCCCCCCAGCCGATACCCCTGAGTACTGGTGGGAAACCAGTGTTGGGCATGATGTCCAGTGTGTCAGTGGTGCTTCTGCCTCTAACTCCGTGATTCCATGGTCTCAGCCTTGGCGGCTTCTAGGAGTGGTGACTCCAGCTATCATCTCATTAGCCCCTCGAGAAGCAGAGCTGTTCCCTTCCAGCTATGATAATTCCCCAAGTATCCTCAAAAAAGCCAAAGAGAGAAGGATCACAGTTGAAGACTGTAAAGACAGTTTAACAGCAAAAGCTGAATCTCCAGTCCCAGCTTAAGATATGAAATATTTCCCAAGCAGCTAAGGAATAACGATGGCCCTAGATACTCCTTAGGGCCTTGGAAGTTTCTCGTTAAGGACCAAGGACTTGAAGATAATGATACTATGCCCTGCCAAGTCCTGTAGCCAGATCATTGCTGCTTTATTGTCAATTGGATCAGAAGATTTTGGCCGATCTAAAGTCAGCCTGGACATCTGACCTCTGTTTATTCCCAGAAAGTCATCAACTCGAGGCAGCAATGTTCGCCTAGTGCC